AGCTGGTATGCAGCAATAAGGAGAAGCAACTGATCGCAGCAAGAAAGAGTAGACGATGCACGATGGATGAGCTCAAACTTGACGATGACGAAGCTCGATGGATGAGGGCAGCTATGGAGGTGTTGGTGCGTGTGTGTGTGAGTGTGACGGGGTGAGGGGGAAGGGCTGGAGGGGGTGGTCGTTGGGGGTAGGGCAGCCATGGATGGAGCTTGAAGATGGTGAAGGAGAAGAGAGAAAGAGAGAGGGGGGGTGGCGGATGGGTTAGTATTTTTTAGGGTTTTCTTCTCTTTTTTTTTTGTTTTGTGTTGTTTGTAAGATAATAGGGGTGTTGGGTTATGGACTGGGTCGACCCAGTTCGAAATGGACTGGGTCGTTTGGGAAGATTGGGCCATTTTTGGGCCTGTGGCTTGAAATCGAAGAAGAGGCCCAATTCCGACTTTCTTTATATTTTCGCTCTCTTTTCTTCTTTTATTTCTCTAAAACTAAATTATAAAAATACTTAAACTATTATTAAGAACTAAATTAAGTTATAAAAGCGCAAATTAACTCCCAATAACAATTAACGCACAATTAAGTAATAATTAAGCATAAAATTATATATTTGGACATTAAATGCTAAAAATACAAACGATGCCTATTTTTGTAATTTTTATTTTTTTGTAAAACAAATTTAATTACTAACAATTGTAGAATTAAATCCTACATGCAAAATGTGACATATTTTTGTATTTTTATTAATTTAACAAATAAACATGCACAGACAAATACAAATAATTGTTCAAAATATCACAAAATTGCACACCAAAGAAAAATCATTTTATTTTTGGATTTTTTGGGAGTAATTCTCGTATTGGGCAAAAATCACGTGCTTACACATATTATTTTAACAAAATTCTTACAATCACTTTATTTTTATCAGGAAGCCAAATATGTCTTATTCATCACATCATTTTTACGTAAATTCTTTTTTTTGTTCTTTTCTTATAGTTATTATATTATTTAATATTTCATATTATTATACCATCATATACTATTTTGTTAACTTATGATTAAATCAATGTCTTGCTTATTATCTTTTAATTAGTATGTGATAAAAATAAATGTTTTATTCTCGAATTTTGATATATTTTTATGCTTTTATCCTCTTATTCATAATATTTTAATCATTTAAATTTGTCAGTATAATTAGTTATTTTATTTTATCTATATTAAAATTAATTTAAAGTATAAGTATCCTCACACTACCTCTATTTTCTTTTTAATATACATTCTCTTTCCTACTATAAATATTAATTAGTTTTATATTAATATTTTATCTATAACCAAAATAATGTCATATTTTGTTTTAAATTGTAACTTTTAGTTAGTCTAAAATATTAATACATAAGTTATTTGATTATCATGTTCCAAATGTATTGAGTTCTCTTATAATTAATTTTGTATTAGATGCAGTTAAATTTTCTTTCTTTTTTAGCTATAAAATAAAGTTTAATTTTAATTTTAATTTTCATTATTAAGATTACAAATATTAAAAATTTATTTATATTTTTAAAAATTTATTTAATCATAGAAAAATAATTCTTAATTTTATGAACACATTATTTCAAAATATTGTAATAATATTTTTACTATCTTTTTAATTATTTACGTAATATTTTTTTAAAAAGAATTCATATCAAACTCAAATAATTCTTATTATTTTATTTTCTAAACTGGACCACATTTTCAAAAAATTATGCTATGCATTCAAACTCAGACTAACTACACTCGATTCATATATTAATCGTAAGTCTAAAATATTAATACATAAGTTATTTGATTATCATGTTCCAAATGTATTGAGTTCTCTTATAATTAATTTTGTATTAGATGTAGTTAAATTTTTGTTCTTTTTTAGATATAAGATAAAATTTAATTTTTAATTTTCATTATTAAGATTACCAATATTAGAAATTTATTTTGTATTTTTAAAAATTTATTCAGTCATAGAAAAAAAAATCTTAATTTTTTGATCACATTATTTCTAAATATTGTAATAATATTTTTACTGTCATTTTAATTCTTTACGTAATATTTTTTTTTTAAAAATCTCATCTCAAACTCAAATAATTATGCTATGCATTCAAACTCAAATTAACTGCACTCGATTCAGATATTAATCACAGAAAAATATTTTCTTAATTGTTTGAACATATTATATCTAAATACTGTAGTAATATTTTCACTGTCATTTTACTTCTTTACATAATTTTTTTTTTCTTTTTTAGTTTTAAGATACAAATTTAATTTTTGTAAAATTACCTATATTATAAATTTATTTGATAATTTAAAATTTTATTTTTCATAAATAAGACTTCAATTTCGTGGTATTATTCATAATTTGAGCATTCGCATCTTAGTTTTAAGAACTTTCTAATCTTAAATTCAAATAGTCTTTTCTTTTCATTTCTAATATTAAATTTCTAATAAGTTAACATAATTGTTCTATTTTTTTAATCTAATATATTGTCTTATTACGTTTTATGTGGTTTTTCATTAACTCGTAACTTTATTTAATATCATTCTCAACTACTTTTCTTTAATAATATAAGATAAATATATGATTTTTTAATTATAAAATAAATATTTATTTTGTTTCAAAAATATTGTTCGAAAATTTTAAATTATTTAAAATTTAATAATATTTTTAAGTATTGTATATTTACTTTATTTTATTTTCTGAACTTATGATTTATAAATGTCCTTACATTATATCTAATTTATTTTTATTGTTCAATATTTTTAATTTTTTATTTTACTATTAGACTTGAGTTATATGGACTTATATTATAACGTTTCTTATCATAATATAAAAAATAATTCTCATCTCAAATTTAAATAAGTTTTACACTTTTTCCTATGATAAAAAATCTTAGTTTTTTTTCTATTTATTCTTTATTATTGATGTTATATTATTCAATACCTAATATTATTACATTGTCATGTAAATTTTTATTAGCCTGTTTGAATTTNTCTCAAATTTAAATAAGTTTTACCCTTCTTCTCTATGATAAAAAATCTGAATTTTTATTTTTTCTCTATTTATTATTTATTTTTGATATTATATTATTAAATACCTAATATTATTACATTGTCATGTGGATTTTTATTAGCTTGTTTGAATTTAATATTTATTTCTACTACATTCATTCTAATATAATATAGATAAAAATTAAAAAACTTTCTCAAATTCAAATAAGTTTTATTATTCTATTTTCTATATTTGACTACATTTTTAAAGAATTATGTTATACTTTCAAACTTAAACTTACTGTACTCAATTCAAATATTAATAAAAAAATATTTTCTTAATTGTTTGAACACATTATATCTGAATGTTGTAGTAATATTTACGTATAAAATATTTGTTTGCCCGATTTATCAATATTAATATGACTTTATTATTCTTATTTTTAAAATTATTTTTTTACTGATTATTTAAGTTTTTTCTTACCTTATAAATAATTTATATACTTTATTTAAGATCTTATTTTGCTGCTTGAATTTATTTAATTTTTAAACTCAATATATATTTAATAACTTAAGAAAATTTTAATTTTATTTTATATTTTAACTTACTCTAATGTATAAATAGTCGTAGGTTATCTCAATTACGCCTTTCTATATTTTTTTTTAATTTTTTTCGATTAGAATTTTTAATTAATTTTTACCTCCAATATCTCTAGCTAATAAAAAAAAAATAATCTATGGGTGAATCAATATAGATNTTTTTTTTTTAACTTTAAGATACAAATTTAATTTTTAATTTTCATTAGTAAAATTACCTATATTAGAAAGTTATTTATATTATTAAAATTTTATTTTAATCATAGAAAAATAATTTCTTAATTGTTTGAACATATTATATATATGTAGTAATATGTTTATTGTCATTTTATTTCTTTACATAATATTTTAAAAAATAAAAACTTATGAAATAAAAAAAATCTCATCTCAAATTCAAATAATTCTTATCATTCTATTTTCTAAATTGGACCGCATTTTTAAAATATTATACTATATATTCAAACTTAAACTAACTGCACTCAATTCAGATATTAATCATAGAAAAATATTTTCTTTGTTGTTTGAACACATTATATGTTAATGTTGTAGCAATAATTTCATTATCATTTTATTTCTTACGTAAATTTTANAGCTTGCCACTTGGCTTAACCACATGCTTCACTACTCTCCTTTTAATATAATATAGATAGATATAGATAAGATAGATATAATATAAATATAGCTTTGCGCCTACATTAAAATAATATTTTATTTTACATGTTCACGTTGTTTACCGCAGTCCTTCCTGATAGTAGAGGTAGTGGCGGGGTGGCGGGGAGAGGCGCGCAGGACAAAAGAGAGACTGTTTTCAGGGAATGAGAAGAAAAAAATTAAAAATTAGGATACAAATTAATTTTGCCCCAAAACTATACAAAATTTACGGATTTTCCCTCCATTTAAAAAAATAAAAAAAGAAGAATTGACCCAAATAAAAACTAATCTATTTTAGCAACGGCGAGGACAGATTTATTCTATTTCACATAGTATCATATGTTAATTCACTCTCCTTTGGCATATGAGAACCAACTTTTTTGGAAAGCTTAAAAGATAATGCTTAAAAAAAATAAACCAAAGTTACAAGACTAGACTTGATTAAGTTAGAGAAATATAATGGAAGTACATGGAATAAAATTACTCTATATTTACAATGAAAAGGACATAGTTTTCTACAAGGCAGAAATAGGTCTGTTGTCAACAACATAGTCTTTGGCATCAGGGTCTCCGCGCGCGGTGCTGTTGCCATCTGCCTGCGGTTGGGTGCTGGCGAGGGATATTGGTGGGGCGACAGACGCATATGCGTGCTTGTCACTTGGCGTGGCCAAGACCATGGGGCCGTCCGTGGCGCTAGACATTGGGAGGCTTGCTAGGATGCCACGGGGCGCGCCCAAGGGGTCATGGAGCATGGTTGGAAACTACGTAAAAAAGCACCTCAAATACCAACCAAGCTCATCACTTGGAAAGAAGTTTTCCCATTTGCAATTTGGGCAATTTGGAGAAATAAAAATGATAATAATGTAAACAACACCAATCTTTCTATTAACACAATGAAGGTCTTTCAACAAACACTAGAATATCACTTGCTCACATCTAAGCCCACTACTAGTAATATTCCAATTAAGATAAAGGTAAAATGGCACTCCCCCTCCTCCAAGAAACTGGTACAAGTTCTCAACTTTGATGGAGCCCTCAACAATAGCTGTCTACATGGAGGAATCAGTGGAATAATACGCAACAACAAAGGAGAATGGATATTGGGATACTACAAAAAGTGTCCAATAATATCTCCTATCCAGGTTGAACTCCTAGCACTACGACATGCACTTCAAACGATTATCAAGGAAAATATTGTCCCATGTGAACTAGAAATAGATGCCACAGAGGTGATTCGATTTCTCGAAGAAAATTATTCTACTTACAGTGCTTTACGTCATGAATGCAAGTGGTTAATGGGGAAGACAATGTAGCAGGGGGAGATCATAATGAAGCACAACTTCCGTGAAGGAAACATGGTAGCACACAAGATGGCAAAGGAAGCTCTAAAGTACCCTAGTTATAATAAAACTCTATATTTTGTATCACCACCTAGTTTTGCAATGGATGTCTATTGTAAGGATAAGGAGGGTTTTAAATATGTTAGGTCATGTAGTATGAATGCATGTGACACTCTAGCATCTCTAGGAAATGACAATGCCCCCCTATATGGCATTGCACAACTTTGTACTAATGGCACTACTATGGGTCTTGTACCCTAGTACTTGCTACTATTTTTATTATTATTAATATAAGTATCCTTTCCCTTAAAAAAAAAAAAAGAGAACCAACTCTTTTTACGTTCTCGTTTGTCTTAGCGACACAATTTTTTAATTTCAGAAGGAATCGAAGTCGAAAAACATAATGTGCAAGAGGAAAGGATTCCGGAGAGTCGATCGAACCTACATAAGATGCAGGAGACTCGTGTTGGTACCACTAAATTATTATACGTTTTAATTTATGGTGTTCTTAGAATGTAGTATAAAAAACTCTAAAATACAACAATAATTATAACAACAAATCCAGTATACTCACACAAGTGGGGTCTCAGAACAACAACAACAAAACTCCAAAATACTATTCTATAATTGACCAACAAAGGATACATTACTTTTGATTAGCAAAGTCTCATGAAGATAATATTGTAAAAACTAAAAGAAATAAAATATTAGTAAGTATTAATTATGCGAAATGGTCATTTTCGAAGGACATGGCTTGGTGCAGTAGCATTGGCCGTGACTGCAACTTCCATTTGTAAAACTCTCAATTTTGCAGGCATCTGCACATTTTTCCCCATTTATACAGAATCCTTTGAATGCGCTGCTGAGTTTAATACAACTCCCTGCATCTGATAAATAAATAAATAAATAACCGATCTCTTTTTAAATTTAAAAAAAAAACTTTGTTTATGTGAACTTCATTTAGCTATCCCAGATTTGATTAAGAATGTAAGTTGGGAGTTAGGTACATAGGGTTATATTATGATAAATCTTCTAATGTGCATATAATAAAATAGAGCGGAATGAATATAGAAGATTCATAACCGATTTTAACAAGTTTATAATTTCGACATAAAACCTTTTGTTGATAACGCTTGGCCAAGTAGTGACATTTTACCTAGATTTGATCATCACGTCAACTTATTTCATTCAATAACAAAGTGATCAAGCTTCTTAGCCACATAGCAAGGACCGGCCTCGAAAACGTGTAGTTAATTAATTAATTGATTGAAGATAGAAAAATTAAATATCTAAAGCAAAAACATGTATACAGAATAAGATCACTAGATTCAAATTTGTGATACTTCTCCAAAAATGATTTTTTTTTTCCTCTTATTTTTTATGGGAATGGAAAATCTAACATGAAAGAGATGGTACCTACCTGCACTGCCCATGGAAAACAACACAAGGAGAAATAGAACTTTAAACAAAGGCAAAGAGTGTTCCATCTTTCTTGTATATCTACTAAAGAGATTTCTGATACTGAAATGAATGAAATATTAGGCTCTCTTATATAGATTATTAGATCCACTACTATTTAATGAATAACTTAAATAGTATTGTTATGAATCTACTGATTTAGTAATAATCTAATTACATGTAAAAATTAATAATTAGTTGTAATCTAATTACATAAAGAAGGTGTAATTTATTTTGTAGATAACTATCATAAAATGAAAGAGAAATGTTTTGTTAAAAAAAATTGTGAAGGTTATAAACCCGTAAAATAAATTTCGTCAAAATTTTTGCGGAGGTTATAACCCCAGAAAAGTGAGATACTTATTAAAATTTCGTCCAAACAATTGTGGATAATACCAACAAAATGAAGTATTAAAATTTTGATCAAAAGAATTGGAGAGTTTAAACCCCGCAAAAAAAGAAATCCAATTATATTGTGTGAAAGATTAAGGTGGTAAAAACCGCCGCATTAATTATATATATTGCAAAAGGAAAATAAATAATTACTCCATCTAGAATTGTCTCACTTTGCCAAATGTATCCTTATACTTTGTGGGGTCCTATTGACCCTGGAGCCCTCAAAATGGGCTTGGCTCGTGAAGCCAGCCTAACCCAGCCCGCTTTTTGGGTAGGATTAGGCTAGAATTTTTTGTGCCCATTTAAAATTGAGGGTTAAAAGCCCGACCCAAGTCAGCCCGTTGGCCCTTGAGTCTTGACCGAGGCTGGGCTTGGTCCGGCCCGTAGGCCAAAAATTAATTAACTATCAAATAGTTAATATTTAAAAAACTAAAAACTTAAAAAATTATTAACTATAATCCTCATTCCCCAACCCTAGATTGCTCATTTACTTTCCATATCAACTAGAATTTATATTTTTGACATGCATGTAATATGACATAATTAGTTTTTATTTTGCTTAATTAGTAATGAACACGAAAAGTTTTAGGTGGCCAATAATAATCTTTTTTTAAAAGAAAATATTACTTTAAGTGGCCAATGATTATTTTGGATTACTTTATACATTATTAATATTTAAAATATTCTTCGGTGGAGAAAAAAATCAATTTTAAATACACACACAAAACAAATTGACAACTACCAAAATTTCAGAAATTTTAAAAATTTTATGGACTATAATGATGAAATCAACAAATGATGTTAATCCTGAATAAAAAAATCTCAGCATATAAACTTATTGAAATAATTCCTGAATTTGAGGAAAATGAAAGAAAGGTATAAAGAAAATATTCATTTAACTTTAAAAAAGAATAGTTAGTCCAAAATATGGAAGAAACAAGCGTTTCCACGACTTTACCACCCAGTTAATTCTGTTCCACTTAATCCTTCTTTCATGGCCACATATCTTTAACGCTTTTGCTAATACCCGGAAGTGGATACCATGATTCTTCTGTCTATCAATAACCGCATGCATTGGATATTGAGAATTTGCATTTTAATTACGAGATTCCTCTCAAATATCAAGCTTTTTGTACGCTATACGCAAACAGAAGTTATTTACATGATTAATCGACTATGTCACGAAAAAATATTTAAGAATTTAAAAAAAATTCATTTTTCTAAAAAAAATTGAAAGGCTGTCCCACCCTAGCCCGCGACCCTCTTAAGGATGGGTTAGACTGACTATTTTAAGACCCATTCATATGGTGGGCCGATCCGTCCTAACCCATCAAATTTTAAAAGTCCACGAGGATTGAGCTAGGCTGGACTGAACTGGACCGACCCGTTTTGACAGCTCTAATTGACCCTATTCCCTCCCGGGGTTTTGTTCAAACGGTAATTAACATCACCTTTTGTTACTTAGCAGTCTTACCTAAAATAGTGTATCACACCTACCTTTTGCTATATTTTGACACTTGTATTTCTTTTTTAAAGTATACAAATTCCTTTTTATTGTCATTTGTTTTATTTATTTATTTTTTCATTTTATTCTTCTCCCTAGCCCTCCTTCTTCAGTTCATTAATCACTTCACCGACTAATCCTTCCTATTGCTTCTTTTTCAATTTTACATTTCTCCCTTTTCTTTCTTTCTTTCTTTCACCTCCGATACTCTTTCCTTTTTTTTTTCTCATTATTATTATTATTATTATTTTTCATTCCACCTTCCTTTTTGATATTAGATATCCCTCCATTACTTTGAAGTGTCGCTAGAAATTTTATTTATCTCCGGTGAGGATCGGAGGTGAAAGAAAGAATGGTGGAAACAAAATTCTCTGTTTGAGCCAAGGAGAATCATCAATTGGAGCGGTGAAAAAGCTTCAAATGAGCCCAACAACATCAGAGGAACGAGCAGATCTGGAAGTAGAGAAAGCAAAGGAAATTGCAACTCCACCAGTGAAGCAGAGCAATGGAACAGTAACTACAGAAGGGGAGGAGAACAAGAAGACAGAGAAAGAAGGCACTCAGACGTGGGTTAACCTATTTGCTAAAAATAGGGCTGCTGAAAATGGTATTGCTCTAACCTATATCCCACCACAGGTTGTGAATGGGTAAATGATAGTCAAATTGGACAAGGATAAAGTAGATAGAGAAACGGAGAAATAGAAAGGGGCTTTAATTGCATATGTAATTGGGGACATGGGGTATAATGCTATGAAAAGGTATATAGAACTTAATTGGAATGCAATTACAGAACCAGATCTGTACATGCACGGGGAAGGCTACTACATAATCAAATTTTATCACGATCCAAAATCCATTAAAGGTCGTGATGGCGCCTGACACCATTGTCAGACACGCCAACATTAAATAGTTAATTAACTCCTTATTTTAATATTTTTGAAATCATAAATTTCCTTCAATTTAACTAGCAACAGATGAGTTTTACGGAGAAATAAAAATATTTTCAAATTCAATACTGAATATTTTATAATCATCCCAGAATTCGGTGTTACAAGTGCATGAGCAATTACTAGGATTTAAAATATAATAAATAACTGTCCGGAATGCAAATTTGGACAAAAAGAAAATACAAGTACTCTGAGGGAGACTCCGCTGGCTGCGGATAGTCTCATAACATGCAGCTCACCTAAGTACCCGTATCACCCACGCCGCTGCGCCCACAAGGCCACTGAACACACATGTGCCTGTACAACAAGTGTAGTATAAGTACGAAAATAATGCGTACCCCGTAAATATCTTGTTTAACTTCGAAGAAGTAGTGACGAGAGGTCGACCCCGATATTTACTAGCAGTCCAATAATATAATAATATGAAATTCTAATTAGGCATGATATACAACAATAAACTCAGAACAAGAAATAACTGAACAAGTCTTCCCCATAATTAAGAGCTTAAATTACATCCTTCCTTTAAAACATGGGATCACACAAACAATGAACTTATATCAATTACAAAAAAGGACTTTCAGTTCTATTTTCATATACAAATACCATCGAGGACGTCCGATCCGATCCAATATATATATATATAAGCTGTGTATTGCCGAGGGTCGAAC